GAGTGGAGGGCGTGTTATCTGGTAAAAGAAATTTTTTTTCTGAAATTTCCATTTTTAATGACCAAAAATAATGTTACGATGCTTCCCTTTTGAAAATCACCATTATTGGTGGTCAACAGGTGTCACGGAGTTGTGAGACTCCGTGGCGCTGACTGTTATTGGGGCCCTCATACATGCCAAGTTTGACAAATTTGCAGGCGTGAGACTTTTGTTCTAAAAACCCCTCCCCTGTGGTAGGGTGTCCGGGGATCAACCGACGAAATGTTTTTTCCCGGATACCCGGAAATGCTGTTTAGGCTACTAATTTAGGGTTGTATTACAACTGAAAATCTGTTAGGAATCCACATTACATTTTTTTTTTCATGAGAATGCATATTTCTGCCGTTCACAGTCGAACTTACCCCATTGACATGAGCCGCGCGCGTGGCAGCTGGCAGTGATTTGATCTTGAATAGTAAAATTATATGATAAAATACTGTAATTATCAGGGAACAGCACTGTTTCCTGGTAATTATGAAGGAGACATCAGGAAAAAAATATTTACTGTATCTAAATATTTTAAGTCCGAGCCGAGCTCTTTGTTAAATAAAATGTCGGGCCCCCTTGCCTGGGGGCCCTGGCGCCCCTCCCCCGTCAACACCCGAGCGTGACGCGCCACTGGCGGTCAACGGAAAAGTCTCAAGTTTGATAGCTGGACAACACCACCGCCGCGCCGCCAGAGATCGATATGTTGCTTTCAAGGCCCTTTTCAATGCAAATATTGGCAGGAGGCTGTGTGTGAGGCAGCGAAAAATGGTGGATATCGTTCTCTAGGCCTCTTTACTTTCAAATTTGCAGAAGTTACAACTAAAGATGACTTCTCCAGAATATTCAAAGGCTAGATTGGACTATCGTCCACCTGCAGGTGCTAATCCAGAAATTCCTAGTTGGGCTAAGAGTGATTACGTTCTAAACAAATGGGTACAAGAGGAAAGATCAAGAAGACGACGCTATCTGAAGGACCAGAAGCTTGAAGCCTGGGAACCTCTTCCACGGCAACAGTTCGAGAAGCCTAACAAGTTTTTTGAGGCTATAAATTCACCATTTCGAAAGTTATTTGCTCCCCTGAATGCACGATTTGTACGTTTCATTAGGCCTAGGCCTATATATTGTTTTTATACTAAAATTGATTTGGTCCAAATCATTAATCATTTAACTGTGGTTCAAGTCGAGATCAGATTCAGAACTGGCAGGCCAGGCCATTTCCTAGGCAAGGCCTAGGTCTAGCACCCATAGCATAGGCCTAGAAGCTAGCTAGGCCTAGGGATTAGGGGAGGCGCCAGGATTTACCCAACGAGGGGAGGGGGACAAAGGTTCCCGACGAGAAAAAAGTGGACGTGGTTAGGGGGTCACTCAAAGACCAAACCTCCCCCCCCCCAAAAAAAAAATATATATATTTAATTTGTAGGGTGTTCACACCACCAGTAAAACGTGCAGGAAACTGCAATTCAAATTGACTATCTCCCACATAAATTAATATTTCTCCACTTGTAGAAGGTCTATCAACATAATTCTTTCACTTTTAGTGAGAGAAAGGT